TATGGCTTATGGGATCTACAGGTCCATCCTTGTAATATGTTCTGCTACCCGGAGGAGTTATTTGAGCAATGACCCCTTTGTACTTGTGTCTTTAGGCTAGGCATATAGTATTGATCTTTTTTCCTTGACAAGCTCAGGACTGAGAACTCGATCATGTTGTTTGCCGACGACGGGGGTTCTTTATAGTCCAGGTGAGGGGAGTCCATGTCCTTGGGAAGCAGTGGTTCTTTGAGCTGGAAGCGTTTCAACACTGGCTGTGTGTGTGAGCCAGTTGTCCGTAAACAGCTGATAAACTTCCTGAATAATTTTCATACTAATAATGACAACAGAAATAATAATGTCATTATTATTGTTATTATAATGAGTATTATTGTCATTATTATTTCTAAAATTATCATTATTGTTATTATCATTATAGAAATAGTTGTAATGATGAAAATGACAGTAATAATTAGCATAATAATCATTATAACTGCAATAATGATAATGATGATAATGATAATAATGACTATAACGATGATAATCATAGCCTTTTGAGAGAAAGGTCGAAAAAACCCTTTTTCGCTTATAAAGGATAATTATGTTGATTTTAACATTAATTCAGGTAATTATGATGATTTTCATGATAATTCCTTTATTATTAACAATAATGATGATAATTATAATGATAATGACAATGATAATAATGATAATAATAAATGATAATTATAATGATAATTTTGATAATTACTGCAATAATAGCAATAGTTAACTCTATTCTAATAATTTTCATAACAATAATGACGATAAAAATTATATCATTATTATTGTTATTATAATAAGTATTATTGTCATTATTATTTCTAAAATTATTATTATCATCATTATAAAAATAGTTATAATGATGAAAATGACAGTAATAATTAGCATAATAACCATTATAACTGCAATAATGATAATGATAATCATGACGATAATGACTATAATGATGATAATCATAAGAATAATAACAATAATGATGATAATAATCATAGAGTCCATTTATAATGAAATAAAGGCTAAAACTAATAAAATCCCAAAAGTCAAAAAAACGGCAAAATCTAAGCGTATTACAGCCTTTTGAAAGATCTAAAAAAAACTTTTTCGCTTTTAAATGATAATTATGATGATTTACATTAATTCAGGTAATTATGATGATTTTCATGATATTCCTTTATTTTTAACAAAAATGATAATTATGATGATAATGACAATAATAATAATAATAATAATAATAATAAAATGATAATTATAATGATAGTTTTGATACTGCAATAATAGCAATAATTTTCATATTAATAATGACAATAGAAATCATAATAATATCATTATTATAGTTATTATAATAAGCATTATTGTCATTATTATTTCTAAAATTAGTATTTTTGTTATTATGATTATAAAATAGTTATAATGATGAAAAACCCTTTTCACTTTTAAATGATAATTATGATGATTTTAAACCTTATGATGATTAATTATATGATTTTCAGGTAATTTATGCATTGATGATTTTCATGATAACTCCTTATTTCAGCCTTTTGAGAGAAAGGTCGAAAAAAAAACTTTTTCGCTTTTAAATGATAATTATGATGATTAATTTTGGTAATTATGAAATGATTTCCATGATAATTCCTTTATTATTAACAATAATGCAATAATTATGATAATGACAATAATGATAATGATAATAATAATAAAATGATAATGATAATAATAATAAAATGATAATTATAATGATAATTTTGATAATTTGCAGTAATAGCAATAATTTAACTCTATTCTAATAATTTTAATCTTAATAATGACAATAGAAATAATAATAATATCATTATCATTGTTATTATAATGAGTATTATTATCATTATTTCTAAAATTATAATTATTATCACTATAAAAATAAATTATATGATGAAAATGAACAATGAATAATTAGCATAATAATCATTATAACTGCCAAATGATAATGATAATGATAATCATGACGATAATGACTATAATTAATGATAATCAAAGAATAATGACAATAATGATGATAATGATGTTAATGATCATAGTCCATTTTATGATATAAAGGGCTAAAAACTAATACAATCCCAAAAATCGACGAAACGGCAAAATCTAGCGTACTACAGCCTTTTGAAAGGTAAAAAAAAAAAAAACTTTGGCTTTAAATGATAATTATATGATTTTAACAATAATTCTGGTAATATGATGAATTTTCATGATAATTCCTTTATTATGGCAAATAATGATAATTATGATGATAATGACAATAATATGATGATAAAAATGATGATTATAATGATAATTTTGATAATTACTGCAATAATAGCAATAATTAACTCGATTCTAATAATTTTTGATAACTAATAATGACAATAGAAATAATAATAATATCAATATTATAGTTATTAATAATGACTATTATTGTCATTATTATTTCTAAAATTATCATTGTTATTATCATTTTAAAAATAGTTTATAATGATGAAATGAAAGTAATATGAAGCATAATAATTATTACTAACTGCAATAATGATATAATGATATCATGACGATAATGACTATATGGATGATAATAATAAGAATAATGACAATAAATGATAATAATCATCGAGTCCATTTTATAATGAAATAAAGCTAAATCTAATAAAATCCTAAAAAGTCGACAAAACGGCAAAAATCTAGAGAGAAAGGTCGAAAAAAAAAACCTTTTTCGCCTTTAAATGACAATTATGATAATTTTAAACATTATTCAAGTAATTATGATGATTTTCATGATAATTCCTTTATTATTAACATTAATGATGATAATTATGATGATAATGACAATAATAACAATGATAATAATAAGAAAATGATATTATAATGATAATTTTGATAATTACTATCAATAATAGCAATAATTAACTCTATTCTAATAATTTTCATACTAATAATGACAATATAAATAAACCATATCAATTATTATTGTTATTATAATGAGTATATTGTCATTATCATTTTCCAGAATTATCATTTATTGTTATTATCATTATAAAGATAGTTATAATGATGAAAATGACAATAATAATTAGCATAATAATCATTATAACTACAATAATGATAATGATAATAATGATAATCATGACGATAATAACTATAATCTAGCGTATTTCAGCCTTAAAGAGAAAGCTCGAAAAAACCTGTTTCGGTTTTATGATAATGACAATAATAGTAATGATAATGATAAAATGATAATTATAATTATAATTTTGAATAATTACTGCAATATAGCAATAATTTAACTCTATTCTAATAATTTTCAATACTAATATAAGACAATAGAAATATTAATATTATCATTATTATTGTTGTTATAATGAGTATTATTGTCATTATTATTTCTACAATTATTATTATCGTTATCTGTGAGGATGGTGAATGTTATAATTGAGGGTTTGCTGGCACAGTTAAGACACTGTTTTTCTTGAATGAGAGAAATTTGTAATTACTATAGAAAGACGTCATATTAAGTATTTATTATACTAGAGGAACAATATATATATATATATATATAATATATACTAAATATACTATATAAATAAATACGAACTATCCGGGAAATTAATTGTTCATAGGGCTATAATGTTCATTTTCCATTGTTCCTACTCTCACTGATCACTGTTTCTTAGTTCACCGAGTTATAATATTATTTCAATATTCATTGCATTTCATTTGATTGCATACCGCACATACGATCTCTGAATCAGCATCTTCATTCTNAGAGGAGAGAGAGAGAGAGAGAGAGAGAGAGTGAGAGAAGAAGAGAGAGAGAGAGAGAGGAGAGAGAGACAGACAGACAGACAGGACAGACAGGCAGACAGACAGACAACAGAGAGGGAGGGAGAGAGAGAGAGAGAGAGAGAGAGAGAGAGAAGAGAGAGGAGAGAGAGAGAGAGTGAGAGGAGAGAGAGACGAGAAGAGGAGATGAGAGATGAGAGAGAGAGAGAAGAGAGAGGAGAGGAGAGAGAATTGAATAAAGGGAACAGATAAGATCTCATGACAAAAGTGTCTCTCTCTCTCATTATATCCTGAGCGAGAGAGGGAAGGAGAAGAGAGAGAGAGAGAGAGAGAGAGAGAGAGAGAGAGAGAGAGAGAGAGAGAGAGAGAGAAGGAGAGAGAGAGGAGAGAGAGAGAGAGAAGAGGAGAGAGAGAAGATGAGAGAGAGAGAGAGAAGAGAGAATGAATGAATAAAGGGAGACAGAGTATAATGAGAAAGTCTCTCTCTATCATTATACCCTGAGCGAGAGAGGGAAAGAGAAGAGAAAAGAGAGGAGAGAGAGAGAGAGAGAGAGAGAGAAGAGAAGAGAGAGAGAGAGAGAGAGAGAGAGAGAGAGAGAGAAGAGAGGAGAGAGAGAGAGAGAGAGGGTGGGGGGATTTGGGGGGGGTGCAGGCAGGCTTGATTTGTATTCGTTCTCTGAAGAAAGGTGTCGAAGAGTTTATATGAATATCTATATATAAGTATGTATGTATGCGTGCATGCAGTATGTATGTATGGATAATTGTATATGTAAATATTTTGGTGATCTATTACTGTAAATACCCCCATTAATTGTAGGAAAAGAGCACGGTGCCTCAAAATAGACTGGCCTATTTACAGACACACACCAGATTGAGATATACCGATAGAGATTTCATTGTATATATAAAAATATGAAGTATTTCACAATACCAAGATAAATGAATTTATTTTCTTTGACATTACCGAGGGAAATTTAACAATTTCGTTTACAAGAACCAACGACTTAGTTGTTTCTCCAACTTTGACAATTGTGTTCGATTTCTTATCATGGCAAAGTATGTATTCGTGATCAAAGAAGAAATGTCACTGTTTTGAGAGATTTATTTAGGGAAACAATCATTATTAACGTTATATTGTAATGAAGGTGATATTCATATTTACTTTCTGACCTTATATCAAAAGACAACAGTAGACA